TAAGGTAGTAAAACATCATGTCACGTATTCAATAAATAAATATTGTTAATCATTGTCAGCCACTTGTCTCTGAATTAAATCTACAGGTAGAAACTAAACCATTAGCCATTTTGTCATAGGAATAAGAGCAATTTTTAGGAAAAGAAATCAATATTGTTTTTCCTGTTATCGTTATATCCTTTGGCCTTTTTTTTTGGCCATCCTTTTAGCAAAAATTCTAGGTTGGCGTTAATCTGATTCTAGTTGACTTGTTGTTCGGAATATCTCAAGTTTAGACCTAAATGTACACCATAACACCAAACTTAGAGTAGAACTTAGTCAAATACTTCCAAAGTCATTTTGACGTCATAATACTGCTTAAACCGCTCTCGCAAACATTCTGCTATCACAATTTTTTTGTGATTTGGTGTCGTAGATATAAGAAACATAATTATTTACCTACTTGTTACCATAATGTACGCCTCCCACATTGATGTCTGTAGGTAGTTGCCTACGCTTAATAATAATACACCTACTGCTGATTCGGACAACGTTTCTTCAAGGCCATTGACAAACCAATGAGTTATTTCACTTCAAAGTGCCAACCATTCGTCTTTTTCTTTTTGAGTTAGTGATTCATCTTTTTCAATATATATGTATAAACCGAAATTATGTCATCATAAACAAAAACTAAGTTTTCACAGTACCCATGTACGTAATAACATCTGAATAGATGTCCGATTTTTCTTATTGTTTTGTTTTCGAGGATTTCATGAATTGTTCGTGCATGATATGACATACCTACGTAATTCCCGGATTTAGGTAGGCACCTACCTATATTAAAATACGCCGCATTTCCGCGGGAAAATGACAATTCTGCCTAAAATAATAATTACAAGGAATTTAGATAGAGTTGCAGGTTCCTTCGTTACAGGTGGATTCTACTAAACATATTTATATCGGAGCAGGGGGTCTACTCTCGATCTCCGTCCGACATCCGCCCGAAACAATTACTGCCAAATAAGCAATACTTGACCAAATGAAAAGACGCCTGAAGCGAATGAAGCTTCATACTTGATACTTCTCTTTTAATGTTGTCGAATATTACTTATTTGACAGTAATTGTTTCGGACAGATGTTGAACGGAGATCGATAGTAGACCCCCAGGTACAATACTTTCAAAAATGCATGTATCAATGAAATATCAACCTTACTACCAATGAATAAGGTGCTTATGGTTAACGCTCCGTTACTAATGGTGTGTTAAGTTATGACGTGTTGAAACATGAACGAAAGGACAATAGTTAGTGTCATGGTTTACATTATTGTCTGTATCCAGAATTAAGATACACCAATATTCGTTAAATTTGGAACTCTGTTGGTTAGTTTTAAAGGTGCTGTTTTAAAAGACAGACATACTTTGCGTGGCTGTTTGTTATTTTATGTATTAGGACTTCGATGTATCGGTAAGTACAAAGAGATATTTTTTACTATCGTATTGTACTTGTACAATCTGAGCTGTATTGCCTTATCGTCTTTTAAATACTGCTCACTTGTCAAAAAATAATGAATGAAATATGATGATCTCTTAGATCTGTGTGATCCTTGAATTATTCTGGAATCCACATTATAGAATTCATTCTGAAAGTTTCGAACGGTTGCAACGTAACTTTACTCGTTTTCTGGCATATTTCTCCCTACCGTGCTGAATATAATACTCAGCTAAAATATTTCAGAATGCGTTCTCTTGAAACCAGACGTTGAATTTGCTGACATAGGAACTCTGCACGGGATGGTGCATGGAGGTATATCGTCGCTAGAGGCACTGGCCCTCATCAACGTAAACGTTCCTCGTAGAGTGCCCATTACCAAATAATTTGTTTTATCTAGTCGCCGAACTAATCTCGGAAGGTATACATAATCACCTTGAACAGACTCATGCAGTCATACAATGACTTGACAGTGCCCAGAGACAGTGACTTAGACATCTTTTATGTAGGGAACACTAAACAACTTTTTAGCATGTGCAAGCAATTGTTTCAATCTTATTATTTTAGATTATTCTTGGTATTTCATTGGTTAAGTCTAAATGTTTAGTGCTGTATACACCTGTAGCGACTTGGTACCTTGTATGTCGAACGTATGTATATTTATTTCTAATAAATAAATCCTTATAATTAAGGTTTATTTATTAAAGTTTAATAGTTTATTCCTAACCAAAGGTCAGGTAAGCGTGCATGAAAGAATTGATGCATGAGATGAGGCAAAAGATATGTGTCAGAATTGTGGCAAGTGGAAAGCTGTGGTTCCTTCCTATACTGATGGGAAAAGGGCGTGCAGTGGATGTATATACGCAGTATATTTCATGGAATGTTTTATTAGCCGAGGCTATGACAGCAAAACCTAAAATGGATAGGTGATGTTGATATTTTACGATGTTTTCTTCGTTTAAAAGAGTCATAGTCGTTAGTTGCTAGTATTTATGTCAATCATCTGTGTAGGGCGCAAGCCGCATGAACTAAAGAATGGTAACGATGATCAACTATAATAGAGTTAAAAAACCTTATGAAACGTATGTTATTCGAATTTAGGTCGTTAATGTTACGCGACAAGCCACAAATTTGTGGGTTGGAAAACCACTTTGAGACCTTTTGCTATTTTCGGATCAGTTCAGTTTCAGTATACACATTAAAATAACAATTTATTAATACTTGTAATTCCAATTACAATAGCCAGTTTAAAATTGACAGTTTTTATGTGTATTTTTCCCTGACTCACACATACGCGACTTTATTTATCGTGAAGTTACTGTCGTCTCCACTACAATGCGCTCCGTAATGTGCCCGAGTCAAGTATAAAATCTCTATAAATGGGCATATGTAATACCAACAACATTCCATTGAATGTCATTAGTCATTTTATGTTATGCAGTCTTTCAGATTTTTTTAGTTTTTACTTTTGATACTGTTACGGTGTATTCACCATCCGAGATTGCATCATCGTCCATTTAGGTGCAAGCGCGGGATTTCAGGACACGTGTGGATTTAGAGTAAATTAGGATAGTGCGTGAATAAGCGGATCGACGACTCGTAGTTACATCTCTTCTCGCATTAGGGATCACGAGCTATTTGTCTCTCTTTCGCGATACCCTTTTTCTTTTTGCATATCTCGGTCCGTATTACTCATGGTGTTCTGCAGCGCAGACGATAGGTTAATATAATAACTATTATTGCAACATATTCGTGTTTACGAACAAAAGAACGAGTTAATTCATAACGTTAGGGCTTTTATTACAGTTAAAGATGGCACTATTTCTAACGTTTCGTTGTAATGCATCATCGTAGTCCACCCACATAGGCCCCACTACATGTTAATTAGCATAATAGGTATTATGTGTATTTCATTTCAACAATCGGGAATTTATATTTATTTTACTTAGAGCCTTAAACAGGTGTCAGAACAGGTCGACGTTCTTACGGACATTAATTCATAACAGCTTATTGTGTAAATTATAAAACTTACTGTAATTGTTGTTTTTGAAATAGGCCCTTATTTTCATTACGCATTTAACCAATTCCTTTGGTGTCCTCATTGATATTGATTGTGAAATTAGGTTCTGATAAAGCAATATCTTTGCCATTGCCGTGTTATGAGGTTATGACTCATCATTCTGGAGGCTTGTCATTTACGTCACGCATTTATTGCTGTTCATACTTATAATTTATTATTAAATTCCATCACAATATGTACTACAATAATACAATTTGTGTGTTACACATCGTGTACCATTTTGTTGTTTGGTCGCTCATTAACGTCCCTATGTGTGAGATAAACCAAAATCGAGTAGGTCGCAAAGTTTTGATTATTTCTTTTGTTTTTTATAATGTAGCACGTTTTTGTGGAACTGAAATAGTGAAGCCTGAACTTTGTTTATTTTTTACTTTTTTGTTTTCTCACTCTTGTTGTTATAAATTTACATTTGATAATTTAATGGTAGGTATTTGCATACTGATAGTTATATTAGAACTAATTACACTGCGATTAATTATTAAAATTTAACAAAGCGCAGTGAATATTCCTAAACGTATTAATAAATATTATCAAATTAAGTTAGTCATGAACGATATGAACATAATCGAAGTAACCGGCTTTTTAGTAACACGTTAACCGTTAAATGTTATTTGTAAGTGTTGACGTTTCATGTTTGTTTATTAGTACAGTCAAGAGCACGTCAAGCATGAGACTTTGTACTTTGGACCGTTCTTATCGTAAGCGGCATAGAGTTGAATTTAAATCTTAAGTGTCAAGCTTGACCGTGCTCTGGACCCTGTACCTACTTGTGCGTACAAGTTAGAAATCTGTATTTCCGATGCATTTAAGAAGTTTCTTTTGTCGAGTAAGGGATTTGTTGCATACCATGCTGAAATATACAAAATAGATTTTATTTAGAAAATGTATACTCTATATATTAATAACTTGATACGTGTTTTCAATTTTAACTTTGATATTTTTTTGTTGTTTTTGTTTAGGTACAGGGTCAAGAGCACGTCAAGCTTGACACTAAAGGTTTAAATTTAACTCTATGCCGCTTGCAACAAGAACGATCCAAAGTCCAAAGTGTCAAGCTTGATGTGTTCTTGACTGTACTAGGCGGGTAATTTTTAGGTTAGTTTTCTCTACTTAAGGCTTAATTTCGGTGGCAAGTTTTATTATTTAAGTATCGAGTAAATTAACGTTAAATTTTGAATAATATTTCAGGTTACTACACTCGAATATTATTTAACATTATTTAATTGTAATTAGATTTTTTTAACTTATTTAAAACAATATTTAAATAACAGAAATTCCCACTAAAATTAGTAGAGAAAAACAAACCTGCAAATTATCTAGGTACATTTCAGCTGTTTAGAACCTAATTGTTAAGTATACATATAGGTACTAATATATCAGTTTCCATCTCTTACACCTTTGATAACAACGTCCTGATAAGTATTGTAACAATGTTTATGTTTTAAGATCATTGTTGGTGAGCGCGATGGCAACGTCGATGCTGAGTGCGAGCGCACAGCCGACGTCCTGCTCTGAAGATCCTCAATGTCCCGTCGGCTTCTACTGCGTACCAAAGTTATACTATTGTCAAGAGTGCTTGAACTGCGATAAATACAAACGTGAACCTCCTAAACACATACCTTGCATCACATCTATATCGGATTGCGGGAAGTGTTTGAAAGGGTAAGTTTAGGTTTTAGTACTCATGGTATACTAATATTAAAATTGGTCAGTATTTTATAATAACCACCTTAAGCATCGGGCTAAAGTTTATATACCTTTTCTTATTGACCAATTTTTTGTTTACAAAAGCTTCACAAGAAAGTTATTTTTTTATTAGTAAGTTACAAAACAAATCGTGGTGAATAGTTTAATTTTATTCACTAGACAGTAAAATCGAGTACAGTTTCAACCAGTGTTGCCCAAAATCAGTGTTGGTCTTGCAATCTTGGTCTTGGTCTAAGACCAAGGCTAATACCATCTAATTGTAACAAGACCTAGACCAAGAATGATCCTGCAAGATTTTAGCAAGAATGAGACTGAGTCTGCGAGACTCTTGCGTATCATAATTACGTAACTAGTAGTAGTAGTTTGACGTCAAATGGGTTAAATTTTTACGAATTTTGCCTAAAACTGTAATCAATCAATATGTAAAACTACTAACTCAATCACAGCCTCATTTATGGAAATAAGCGTAATAGGTCGAGTATATAATATAGTAAATAGTATTTGCAGTCAATATTATGCTCTATCTCTTTTATACGATTGAGCGCTTATGTAGTTTGAAAGAGCAGCCCTGAGAAGCCATAATTATTTGGATTTGCCATCCGTTGGTGATATCCTATTTGTTAATTTACCGATAAAGACGCCGCTTTATTAAAAAAAAAAATATTTGAATTTATTCAATATTGAACTCTATATATTGGAGCTCTCGATTGGTATGGACTTATAAAAATAGCAAGATGGCTGTCGTTAGTGTTGCCGTGTACACGCCAGCATATCAAGCTACACATTGACGTATCTTGTTCCTTTGCACTGGAGGCGATTTTCGAACAAAAACGTGTAGTCTGATGTGCCGTTGTCCGTACATTTTGACGCTGTCTTGTGCTCCGTTTCATGTAAATATATTTTAAGATTAAAGTTTAAAAGAATCGTAGTATGATACGATACTGGTAATGGTCAAACATTATGATAATCTGCGACTTACAATAATCGGTATCTGTTTCATATCTATTAAGTAGTAATAGGTAATTGCAAGACTTGCGAGACTCTTGCAGCAAGACTGAGATCAAGACTGAATCTGCAATACCAAGATCAGGCGTACTGACGATGACGCAAGACTGAGTTAGTCTTGTCTTGCATTTGGGCAACACTAGTTTCAACATGGCAATGTCCATTATTTAATGTTTGTTTATTTAATGTCAAATTGCCTCCGCGGCCGAACGGTTACCATGCCTGTCACGGAGAGCTCCCGGTTTCGATTCCCGTGCCGGTAGAAATATTTGTATGACCTTCATTTATTTCTCTCGTGAGTTTGGGTGTAATTTGTGGTTGTCTATGTGTGTGTCCATGGCACCCACGATACAGGGTTTCCCTACAGCGGGACTATGAGTGTGTAAAAAAATTAACCTGTATTAAATATGTAACAAATGTCAATTTTTTTGTAAATTCTATGTTCATTAATTTATTATATTATGTTGGTTATAATATTTATTAATGAAAATAATTATACACGCGAAATCATAATATGGTACATTTTGTTTTAAGAAAATGTTAAAAAATATACTATATCCATAAAGAAAAAGCGGGAGACTTTAAACAAAAAATTTTATATAATTTAATATACCCGTACGAACGAAACGAAGGTCTATTTCATTCCTACAATGTTTAATGGTCTTCCATCAGTGAAATGTACGGCAGGTTGTAAAAAAGTTTTTAACTTTCATGTAGAATTAAATAGATTTGTTGATCATGCAGATATGTGCAAAAACTTACGGAAGACTAAATAGAAACAGGAAAGAGTGTGGTGTACTCTAACCTGCTGCCTGCAGGAAGTCAGAAACAATATTGTCAACAAAAAGGGTGTGAATAAGAGAGAAAAATACATTTGAGGTGTGATTAAACGTAAATCTGAATGCCTTTATGTCATAGGCAAGCAAATTACACTTGGAATTGTTAAATTAAATAAACATTGCTCATCGCAATCCTTTTGAGAAGAATTACTAAGAAATTCCACAAGTGGCTTAATTATAATATTTCAAATTCATTTCTAGAAACAACCTCAAAGAGCTAAACGGATCGTTACCGTGGCTTTTTGTCCAAGTGATCCAACCAATTATTTTGCATAATAAATCACGAAAAAACTATTAAATTCCAATATTCACTAACGGAGCACATAGCTAGGTTGCCAGCAGTAAAAAAGTGTTTGGAATTACAATTTGATTAGTTTTGTAAACCATTTAAAAAAAAAATTATTTCAACAAAATTTGGAACAAATATTGCGAAGAATTTAAACAGGCTTCTGTCGATGTCATTTGAGCAAGTCAATGCTACACGATTTGTATAGGATTTAAAGTTTATGAAGAAGTACCTACTGACTACGTAGTAACATCGTTTCATAATTCTCATAAAATCAAGTCAGATTTGACAGAATTCAATTTTCCTTCGATCCACGGCCACATTTAAGCATGGGAGTCACAAGTGTAGGCTGGAGCGCAGTTAGAGGCTTAGTAACACTAAGAAAGAACGCTACGAAACATTTGCTTCCGCAAGTGAATATCCCGAGTGCTTCAACCTTCACTTTGAACTTTGAAATGGCAAGCATCATAGAGATGAATGTAAACAAAAGCTTGACGAGCTCTTGACTTTGTGCCAGTGCGCCGTTGCTTCAACTCCGTTGGATTGGTGCACAGCTGATCGAAAGGAGCTTCCGCAAAGTGACGTGCGAATATGGACGCTACACAACCAATTCGTTCGGGTTGCAATTGATCGAAGTATGGGGCAAATAGCGTATTTGTGCGAAACTATTTAAGTAACAAACAATAAAATAAGAACATGCGTATTAAGGAATTCACCGAAAATGCACATCGCCAAATTTATCTCGATAGAAAAAGAGCAAACAACAATATTTATTATAGAGACATGGAAAAAAGTGTACAAAAACCAAAAACATCGAATATCTCCGAGCGACACATAGCCAAAACATAGATTTCCATTCGTTTCAAATGATAATAATAAACTATATTGGATTTGTATAGAGAACAATAATAAATTATTGCGTCATCTTTTGACTGTATTTACGAGATCTTTATAAAGCGGTGGATGTAGTTGTTTTGCAATGAAATTATTTGTAAAGGACTTCAGGTGCTATATGAAGTCTTCAGTGGACATATCCGTTGGTGTCCGCGCAGTAGATCATACGGCTGACTAGCATGGAATGTATATCTCATTAAAAAAACATGTTATTAATGTATGTGGCCCAGGGCCCAGTGCGATTACGACCGTCTAATTAGCTATAAAAATCACCGAACACGAACACTTTCTATCTTTTTTTTGTCGTTACATGCCCGATGAAAAAACAACAAATGGTAATCTAATTGAGTTACACACTGTTCAGCAACTATTGGGATATCGTGCAATTTTAAGATGGCTTTTGCTAGAGATGCCACGAATAGTGATTTGGCCGAATACCGAATATTCGGCCACGCTCTCGGCCGAAACGCCGAATATTCGGCTGCCGAATGCTCGGCGTACGATCTGTGCATTTCACGCGGGACCTGTCTTTTGCGCTTTTGCGCTGCGTGCGAAGATAACCGGTCTGGGGTGTTTTTGTTGAAAAATGATAAAACGATAAAATCAATACATGACAGTTTGTGGACCTGTTTTGAAGAGATCGCTACAGATAATATGCAAAATGATGAGGATATGGAGAAAAGTTCTATTGCACATGAAATTTATTCTTATTTGAAAACTGTAACTTTAAACTGAAACTTTATAAGTGGTGGTCAGCAAAAGCAAAGCAGTCTCCAAGCCTGTCAAAATTTGCTAAGTTTTATATTTCGTCTCCTGGCAGTAGCGTTTGTAGTAAGAGGCTATAAGCAGGAATTGTTTATGAGGAAAAGCGTAATCGTTTGTTACCAACCAATGATAAAAACATTGTTTTCATTTATCACAATCTGCCACTGATTTTTAAGTATTAAAGCAATCATTCGTGATTAAAATACATTTGTACAATACATTGTAAAATGTATGATACATTTTGAATAATGTGTTTTTTCCATCATTTGATATTCGGTCGAATACTACGACTATTCGGCCGAATACGGAGTATCAACCGAATATTAAAAAAAGTGGCTGAATAGGCCGAATACCGAATAGTTGCCGAATATTCGTGGCATCTCTAGTTTTTGCTCTGGGAGATCAATTTATTTCTCTGAGGTTTTGGTGTGTGTTGATGACGACAGGTTGTGCGTGGGTAGGTACTGTTGCTTATACATGTAGATGTGTGAGACGATTATGGCGTGATCGTTGTTTTACGCGCATCACTGTGTGCGTTCTGTCTGTGTGAATTGATAACGACATTTCGTCGGTGATAGTGCAATTACGCGTAAGTAGCATTGGATTAAGAGTTTCCATTGCGGTAATTTAGTGTTCAAATCAAATCCGCGTATATGTCGTGGTAAACAAATTCAGAGATGGGAAAAACTGCTTATTTTTAAAACGTTGTAGCTTTTTAAAAAAAGCGTGCTGTTTTAGGGTCGTATTCCAGAACTCTACTCAATGCTCAAGTCAGGACTTGAGCAGACTTGAGTATGATTTTAAGCACTGGAAATACGTCCCTAATGGCAAGGACTTGAGTATGATTTTCAGCGCGCACTGCAATACTCAAGTTACGACTTGAGTATTGAGTAGAGTTATGGAATGCGACCCTTAGACGCTTTACGTTTAAGCGCTTAAACTTTTATGTAAAAAAAGTTTGCAACGTTGTGTTGATAGCGAAAAGCAAGATTAGACCGCTAAAGATTTTAAGTGTAGTAACTTTCTTCGTAAAACACGAGTTTTGTTTATAAAATTATTATTCACATTGACGAATTAATTTGTATAAGAAACATAAATGGTGGGACTTGAAACTTAGGCACGTAGTAAAAAATGAAATTGTTGAGTATAGAACTGACCAACGCTTACGCTTAAAATAAAAAAGCGTGCTTAAGTGCTTATTTTAAAAAGCAAACATTTTAAGTGCTTTTCTTTTAAACGCCCCCCTCTAACCAAATTAGATATACGGAAACGGAAATACGTGATATAAAGAAATCTATTGTTATCAATCTGTAGATCCTATCTATACATTAATGCTTACTGTGCAAAAATGAAAACGTAGCTATGGAAATAACAAAGTAATAAATAACGTTAAATCCCTTTACTGTAAAATTTGGTGTAGTGAAGACACGCGCCTTTTACCAATGTGCAAATCCGCGTATGTAGCGCGGATTTGCACTATCCTCGACGATTATTTTAAATTGGTTTTCACGGCTCTGGGTATTTTGCCCTTTTGAGCCGTCCTCGACGATTAATGGCATAGGGTTGCCAGATGACAGAAATCCGAGAATTTCCCCTTATTTTTCGTCTGATCCCGAATCCAGTGCAATGTCCCGAATTTACAAAGTTACGAAATCACCGTGGCCAAAGTAAAGTATAACACGCATATTATTTGTGTACATATTGTACTTCAAATTTTATTTCGTTGTAATTGTTTAAACTGTAACCAAGTTGCCTATAATAAACATTTATTATTTATCTTATATCACTGAAATTGGTCACGTACGAAGTAACATTTTTAACTAAATGATATTTACAACTCTATTTGCACCATTTATGGACATTTTTACACCATTTGTGGACATTTTGATATCCTAGAATTTCTATCTTGTCTAAAGGTAGGATAGAATATACCTTTAATAATTATTGTCACATTATATTAAGAATTTAATTATTTTCAGATATGTGCAGGACGTGACTGGCGATTTCTGCGTATCGCTCGACGACCAAGGACAATCTGAGTCTCCACCATGGTACATATGGTTCGTGATCACGTCCATAATAATTATCTTCGTGATCTTCGCCGTCGTACTGTACATATTTCTTCGCAGACGAAAAATCGATCAAAGACTTGATATCGGTATGATGCACATATTTATTTCTTGAAAATGTTACTATTTTTCGGATTTAAAAACCAACGTTTCGAGTCCTTTTGAAGTCTCATGGTCACAGCTGATGGCCGGTTTGTTTGAAAAAACAAATATACGCGATTTAGGTCCGAAAAAATAGTTTCATTCCAATGTATAACAATCGCGATAACCTATGAACTCGATATTCATGTATATTTTTAAAAAATCTAGAAAATATAACATTTACAGGTTATGTTAAATGTTAGCTATGCATGTAACCTCAGGATCACAAACATATTGTCGTAGATTTCAATTCATGTTCAATAGACAGAGCAGAGTTCTGTTGTTATCTAAAAAACCTGTATGTATGTATTTATCTACACATATTAATATAACATACTTGAGGCGTAGCGTAGTGAGAATAATGTGTAATGAGTAATGACTTGTTCTAATTTTATTAATTTGCTTTAGGTACGTTACCACATAATGGAGTAATTATAGGTTTTTTTTTTCATTTAATCATATTACAAAGCTTAACCACTTCATAGAAATTGGCGGCGCTTAAGGCCCATTTCGATGGAGAGAGTTTCTCGTCTCGAAGATACGATTATCGAAAGAATATAAAAAACTTTACTTAACGTTAGAATGCGAGCATGTCATGGATAAACCTACACATTCAATGATGTTTGACAAACCCTAGGTCCTTGCAAAAGAAGTCTGTTATCTGCCCAGGATGCTGCGAGAGGCCATTGAAATTAAAAAACATCCTAATTTCAACAGGGAAGATGGTTTCTCCGTACCACCAGTTTGGGATCCAGTATTTCCTCTAATGAAAAATCCCAAACAGACATAAGACTGCAGTACTAATTAATGTTTTAGTTTATTCTAATTTCTATTAATAATTAATAATAAATTAAACTTAATAAAAATTAATTCAATAAAATAATTTGTAAAACTTAACGTAGCGTAAATTGGAATGTTTTCTTTGTAAAATTAAAAATAAGGTATTTAATTAATGACTATTGTAACTATAGTGAAAAAATAGGGTGGTTTGCATTAATATTAGACATAACTGGTTGAAGACTGTACCACCTCAGTCAACCGTGACCATGGGACCTGTAAAGGGCCCGAAACGTCGGTTTGTTTGAAAAAACAAGTATACGCGATTTAAATCCGTAAAAATAGTTTCATTTCCTATGTGTAACAATCGCGAAAACCTAAGAACTCTATATAAAAAACTTTCATTGTCTAAACATTCGCGATTATCGCCCTTACACGTGAGCGATAATCGCCACGCCTTTCAATATTGAACGTCTCCGTGTAAACAGAACTTGAAAGCAAAAATCGTATTTCGAGTTTTTGTGCCAGCCGTTTCTACCATGAGAACAGTGCGCGAGGGTGTTTTGATTATCACTGCTTTTCCAAGACAAGAATTAAGGAAACGAAAAGGAAAAAAAAAGGGTTAAGAAATGTTATAAAATTAAAAAAAAAAAAATTCTATACAGAGCAATGAACTTAATACAGCAGTTCCAAATTTGAATGATTTTTGCGTCATTTTGATATATTCATAGTCAATACCGCAGTAATCACTGAACTCGAATGGCAATTCTCGTACTGAAAACGGTTTGAACCGATTTGTACGATAATCGTATGAACTTGAAAAAATGTCATACGAGATCGTGTTTAGACAAGTCGAAAACTCGTAAGCAAGAATCTCCTTACTACATATTTCTCCGTGTAAACAGTCGAGGAGGCGATTAAGTTGCTTGCGAATCTCGTATGACATAATCGTAGGCGAATTTTAGTTCTTGCCTCAATGTAAACATTATGATACGATTATCTTATGGCGATTACTGCTTACGATAATCACGTACGATTTTTCGTCACGAAGCGTACTATAAACTCTCTCCATCTAAATGGGCCTTTAATGTGGCGCGAGGGCGCGGCGGCGTTGTTATCAGTGGTGTGATGTCTTCCTTTTCAAATTGCAAATTGTTGTGCCCTGTGCAATTTTACGCAACAATTACTTATACATATGCAATTAATATAAATCTGATAAACACAGTTTAATGACTTACATGCACAGAACAATATATACAGTTGTTTTTTTTTCTTCCGTGGTTGAATGCAACATTTATGGATATGTATTTGTGATATTTTCGCACTTGTCTCAGCTTCAGATCACGGTGGGGTAGACAGAGTTTATGCATCAATTATGCAAATAACTTCAACACCATAGGGTGTTGAAGTTATTTTATGGCACATGGTCCCATGTGCACCAAGAACAATTTTATTCAGACAATTTTATTTCATTGTAACTTAATCTGAATAAAAACAAACGTAAAAGAAGCTTAATTATTATACAATCATCAATTTAAAACTTAGAACTCAAATAGAATATTTGTGATTTTTAAGCGAAGTTAATGTGTATCTATATTTTAGGCATCTTGTTGTGCGTACGTAGTGCATACTTGTTTTATATTAGGCTTTAAACAGATTAGCTATATTTATCTGTGTAGGTATGTAAAGAAGTATGGTCCGGAGCAATTCACTGGTAGAAGTGCGCACAGCAAAAACTGTAGCCTTTGAAACATGAAAACTTGAGGATATGTTAGTGTAGGCGTGAGTATTGAGTAGAGTTCTGGAATACGACCCTAAGAGCGGATTTTCCGAAACTCAACTCCTACGAGGGTGAAAAAGGGTAAAATGTTTGTATAAAAAATCGTACTTATTCCTTGACCTTACAAAGATAAAACTTAGTACAAATATTCCATAATGCAAATGGAAAGAATGTTCCTTTCGTGCACCCCAGCATCAATTTAAACTGACAAGTTCGTTACCTTGCGAATAAGTTCAAGTGACTTTTTTTTTCAAGGCCTGACTAATAGGTACTTATTCGCCATATTGCGCGAAAAGTGATTATGGCTAAAAACATTTTTTTTTAGAATTTCAAGTAATGGGATGAACAAGTCGTGCGCCTAAATGGTAAACTACATGCCTGTCCATTACAGTTGCAGTGCCACTTAGAACTTTAAATCGCAAAGATCTGAGGGGCACTGCCACTGCGCCCTTCACCCTGAGACATAAGTTGACAAGTCCCATTGTATCTGTAATTTTACCAGCACCCTTACTATTCAAAACCGGAACACAGTAGTGCTGACATTACTGCTTGGCGGCAGAAATAGATAAGGTGGCAGTACTTCCCTGGACGAACTCTTTCAGAAGGAGCTCTACAGCGACTAAACATAATGCTTGATGAATCCCTTATGTGTTTTCTATGATTTGACATTATTATTGTTCATATCGCTGCAATAGAGAATCTTTGAATAGAAACCGAGTTTACCACTTTGGTAACTCAAGGACGTTGCCGTTGAAGACAGCCGAGCTATTTATATAGAGATATAGATACACGAACACGGGCTTAGGTTACTTCATTTGTCTTTTGTATTATCATTATTCATTTTACCTTTCTAAATAGTGCTAATGTCATCATAGGTCAAATGTTAATACTTACCATTCAACGTGTTATCATTATCAATCTGTCCCCCTATTAAAATAACTCATAAAAAGGTACTAAAAGTATTTAGTTGTTAGGAGATTTTTTTATTATTATTAACGTTTATTTTCGTTAAATTGGGAGTGGTAATAAGAATAATAAAATGTCAAGGTGCTAACTGAAGTCTGGTTTTCATATACGAAGCTTATTGTTTTAAGTTTATAAACAGTTTTTTTATTTGCAGTAGGTAATGCGTCGCGCGATCCGATGAAACCGCCAGAACCCCCAAGCGCCCCGCCCGAGCCAACACAACCATTGCGCTCGGACTCCAACTACTCGGAGTCTCTGCCACCGTACTCCGAATACCCGGTCCCACTGTACAATGAAGGTAATTATGCTGGGAATTACGTTTAATTTGGCTAAGTCCGTGGAGTATTTATTTTTTTAATACTATCGAGTGACGGGACGAACAAGTCGTACGCATGATGGTAACCTACACGCCTGCCCGTAACAGTTGTAATGCCACTCAGAGCTTCAAATCACAAAGATTTGAGGGGCACTGCCACTGCGCCCGTCATCCTGGGACATAAGTTGACAAGTCCCATGTGCCTGTAATTTCACCAGCACCCTTACTTACTCTTCAAAACCGGAACACAGTAATGTTAACATTACTGCTTGGCGGCAGAAATAGGTAAGGCGGCAGTACTTCCTTGAAACGAACTCTTTCACAAGAAGCTCTATGGCTTGCAAAAATAATACTAATAATAAAATACATTTATTAAAGTAGTATATGATTTACCTCAGAAATAAATTTTAACTTTAGGGAATTAATAAGAAACTTGTAACATACTATAATAAGACATATATGGTAACTAACACTCGCGTTGTATAGAGCTGGTCTCTCACGCCCCTTTCATTATTATGCGAGTGTCCGTCCGTACATAGCGTAGTCTTCCGTCACACTTAAAAAACATACAGGCTACTAAGCACATGCAAGCCACGCGTCAACGTATATTTTTTTAATATGATAAATTTTAGAGTCAACGGTTGTCAGGATGTTTAGAAAATGTTTTATTATCTTGAAAATTAGTCATTTTCGTTTGAGCCCGTATAACTATATTTTTTTAAATTTAAAATTAAGGACTTACGACCTCGCATATTAGTTTCTAGATCACGTTTCCTAATTTCATTGTATTTGTTAGTATTTAAAACAAGATCAAACTACATTTTACGACACTCTGCGGAAAAGCCACGTGTAGTCAAAGTCGTTTATTGTTAATAGTAGTTGCAGGGAGGGTATAAAATCAACTATTAATAAATGATAAATAAGTTTCTAAATAATTAATTAATGCTCTTCAATAATAATGGTTAACTTTTTCTTTCTTTTTTCTTGCCTTCAACGATGACTGCAGAAATGGTAAGCCTGTTGAGATTATACTGAACTGATTGTTGTTATTGTATTTAACTAGTTATAAGTACATATTTTATACTTTAATTGTAGCATGGTGTTTATTATACATTCAGAAACTGAGCTGCCGCTAGTGAAGCGCAACCCGGCGGACTTGCCCTATTCACGCGGCATGCAGCGTGACAGCAACCAGGCCACTAAACCGTTTTCTGCGCCGTACTGGATCAACAACAGCCCGCTTGTCTACGAGTAAGTTGCGCTTGCACATTCAAACTCATTACTGTTAAGATGCTATACGAATATAGCTGCGCTGCAATATATCGCGTGTCGAGCCCTACTGTGCGAGCGCTCTGTCTAGGAACGAAGCTTCAATGGAATTACTTGAAGATGTTTGGATTAGTAGCCGATTTATTATTGAAGAGCATTAATTAATTATTTAGTAGCCGATTTATTAACTGCCTCCGTGGCCGAACGGTTACCATGCCGGACTGCCACGCAGAGGTCCCAGGTTCGATTCCCGGGCCGGGAGAAATATTTGTATGGCCTACATTTATTTCTCTCGTGAGTTTGGGTGTAATTTGTGGTTGTCTATGTGTGTGTCCATGGCACCCGCGACACAGGGTTTCCCTAGTGCGGGGCTATGTTGATTGTGAGCGTTATTATTATTATGAGAAAACGAAACGTTTTTTTCCAATCGATCCCTTCAATTTTGGGCCTTATTGTGTACCGAAGTATAACTTATGTCATAAAATTCTGAAATCTTTTTAATTTTAATAGAAATTGCTGAAACATTTAATTCGACAATTATATGAATAAATGATACCACGTTCGACGAAATGTCGTCGTGGTTCGACAGCTTTCTTTGTAGCTAATAATTGTGTTTGATCGAGAGAATGTCCGTAACGAATAGTCAAAAGTCAGTGATGAATGTATTAAAATCACAAAATAGTTAATACAAACACAGGAATAAAAAATATCTGTGCCGTTAACGTGTTGACCGTGTAATTAGGTGACATTTATATAGTTTAACAGCTTGGGACATAGTCTTTTAGCCAACTTTATTAGATATATAATAATAATATGATAATGGACCATTGACTATCAAGGTCTGTGTAATGGACTCGTAATTAATAAATTACTAAAGAAGTAGTCGATATTATGTAAGACAATTAGACCTACCTACCATTTGAAGCATAGACATTGCCATATATAATTAATGTATTGCCAGTCATTTATATGTTCGAACGATATTTTTGAATGGCACAAGTGATTAATAAATTCTATTTCATGTTTTTAGGAATTCTCCGTATTTTTTTATTCAAAAATATGTGATAGTAGTTCAGTTACATCTTTGCGCCCAAATTGTACGGAAGAAAAAATGGATCCTTGATTAGTAAATTCCTTTGCACCATAATTATCGTCTATTTTATATAGATTGTAATTCCTTATAGTACTACTACGACGCGGGCGCAATCACGCGCGAAGCATTGCGTGAATCGTGTTTAGGTTGTAGAGTTTTTTTTTCCGAGGAATCTTCGTAAAAACAAAAGTTCCGGACCAGATGGTCATGTTTGACTCCTTCTGGGAAGGTACCCAGAGGCCTACGCATTAAAACCTCCTCCTCCCCTTGGTGTTTCTTCTTCGATATATTTCGAAGACATTGTTTTGGTTTCTTGTGGTAACACCAATATTTTTTTAAATTTTGATTTTAATGAGAATTAGCTTATTCTATTTTGTTTAAATTTTCTTTTTATACTTCGATAGGTTGACCTTATTATGTTAATGTGTTTATTGTTTTGATTCTATTTATTTAATTGTATTGATTTTATTTATACAGCGTTATTTTTTCTATTTTTAGCAGGTGTATTAAGTTTTACATAGTTGAGTAATTTTTTTTAATATTCCACATAATTATATAAAAAAAGGGGTGTGAATTTTAATTTTTTAACGATTTTATGAGCCTTTGCCACCTCCGGAAGAAACAGTTTTGTGACTGCTCCCGTATCTGCGCTTTGATATCTTTTGTCCCAGGTTTCTATTAATTAATATAATTTCATATTTAGCGTACGATACGGGGCCCCTGTCATTGTTTGCTGCGGTTTTACTTTTGATTGCTGCTCATCGAGTATATAACCAGAAATAGAGATGAAATGTCATTTAATTTGTTTGAAAACTATTCTGCCATATCATTACTGTGACAACTGCGCTCCGATTGGCCAGCCCAAGTTCGAAACAATTGACGGGTGTCGTCAACTGTTTCACTGCAAGTCGACCAGTTAACTTGAGCTTTGCTATCATTGACTTATTGTAAGTCAAGGTTTGCTATAATGGACGAAAATTGCAAAATTACATATTTAATATTTAATTACCGATGAAATGTGATTCCGTTTGTTTTGTAATTAGATGTTTTGCTGTTTTTCCTAGACCACCGAATAGATCAGCACGGCATTGTTAGAGATATTATCTTTATTACAATAAATACAGAATATTTTTTGGAACATACGGAGACGTACACACAGGTCAGTAGTTGGCCTGTCTATATTTCAGTGCAAACGAGAGTTGATATTTATAAGAGCTGTATCGCTAATGTGTTACCAGGAATATATGGCCCTTATTTCGTCTCTATTTCTGGTTATATACTCGAAGTTGCTGCTTCTTTAGCCGGGAGTCCCACGTGGGCCACTCAGTACACTTGGATTTTGCTTTCTCTACAAGTCCGTTGTAGAGTTAATAAACACTTTCTTGGCAGTAATACAGTACAATATTACGCTAACAAATCTTTCAATTCTCGTCTCGCACATCCTCTCTCGTCAATCCAAACATTTTCCACCGAAGATGTGATATGAGAGAATTGAAATTTTACAAATTTCAATCAAACAAGTAATAGCCCCTTTAATGAAAACTTGAAACTGATAGAAATCCGACGACAGCGAAAACACGAAGATTATCAAGAAATGTTAGTGTATTATAAATCCATAAATTAATTGTATGTTATATGTACTATTAGAGTTAAATATCGAATCGGCATAGTGGTGAAGCCGAGTCATTGGACCGTTTTTTTCTGATTTAAGGATATGTAATAAAATACGATTAATAGTGATCAAATCGTCATTTACAGAAACAACAACGGCCCTGTACCGCAGAATGATCAGGAGGAAATTGATGAAAACGACCAGCTGAGAAATCGAGAGCCAGAGGAAGATTTGCCATTCGTGCCGCACAACGAAGAAACAATACCTAGTTCGTGGACACCCAACAATGATGTAAACGGCAACAAGTGAGTATTAGTGTACACAGAACACGATTTCGGCCGATGGATGTTATCAGTCATAACGGCTTATATATTGTATTTATATCGAGTTCTTAGGTTTTCGCGATTGTTGCACATAGGAAATGTAACTATTTTTCCGGATTTAAGTTGCGTATATTTGTTTTCTCAAATTGTATGTATGTTTGTCTTTACTTTTTTTTTTGATTGCGATTAAAATTTCGTGAATTGTGCTCACACCCGTAAAAGCTTCTGAAGTAACCCAATGCTGGGCATGTCTCCCTTAAGGAGAGGTTTTAGACCATAGTCCACCACTCTGGCCCACGCGGGTTGGTGAGTTCACTAGTTTTTCAGTAGCATTACAAAACTATACACCTAGTTGGGTAATAAAAACTCAAATTTCTGTTTATATATATTTTTTTCAATAAAATCAATGGACTTGATACATTCTAATTGTTTCCAATGTCCCATTGGTGTAACCTACTTATAAATTTATGTATTTTTTCACAATATGTTACAGCTAATCTTTCTGTAAATCATTTCCACATATTAAATTTAGATCAGTACTGATTTCAAAATACTCGGTTGTTTTCGTTTCAATATTTTTCTTTCTCAAACAATGCGAGGAAATACTAATTTTTAATGCATTTTTTATTTATTTAATATTTTTTTACGAACAATGACGTAAAAATGACGAACTTAATACCATAAGGAATTGTCTGCAAGCAAACCATTGGGCAAAACAGAAAAAAAAACACTAAAGTAAACTTAAAAAATTAGACATAACTATTTTATTTATTTTTATTTGTTCTTAAACCAGAAACAAGTTTTCCATGACATCGGCAGGAACGGGAGTTTTAATAATGTTCCTTGTATTTTAAGGAAAATTTCACTTTATGAAATAGTGAGGGAGCCAGCAGCGCAAACGGCGAGCGTAGCATAGCTGGTGTTGCAGAGGCGGCTGATAGCGGGGCTAATGCAGGGGCAGCGGGAGTCCCGTGGCCCTTCACTGCTTCGCGACGGACTTCACTCTCGGAACTCTCGCCGCCGTCGCCTAAGATGATGCGAGGGGTGAGGAATCTGAGTACATAACCAAATGTTATAGTTTTACGCTTGTTTACGAAGAAAAACGATTTTAGTCGTTGTCAAGCTTATCTAAGTGCCTAAGCGGCAAAATTTACAATTTCCATCATAATCATTTAATAGTATAGAATTTTTTCCTCGTAATTTGTTATGAATGGAATGAGGTTCGAAAACGTGTAATTTCTGCCATAATTCGCGACTGAATTAACATTACACGGTTGATATTGTTGCCTTCTGTTAGTACGATCGTTTTCCTTTTTTATCACCCAGCGTAATAAGAGAGTTTCTATATTGGTTGCAGGATTCTAAAAACAACACCAATCACGAAGCGGGTGACGGCAGCAGCGGCGGTGGGGGCCCGGAAAGCGCGAGAGACCCAGGGGCGCGTCGCCCCAGCAGCGGCACCAACGTCTTCATCAACGTAATCAACGCCGTGGGCCCGAATACTTACCAGAACTACTATTCATAATAATTACAACTACCGTTCAGATAAGTTTATTCGTTTTAAAAATGCAGTACGACATTCAGTTACTGTATATGGAAAAGCAGTAAGAGGATTACTTACTACATTGTTGACGCGAATGTCGAATTTATTCTCGGTAGTTCATTCACAGGTGCCATGAAAAGAGCATCGAGAATGCTTTCACCTTAGTATTAACGTTTAGATGGTACCATGAAAGAACTTCATGATAGAGCTCATTAGTATATCCAAAAGAAGGGATAGTAGAACTACAAAGAACCTTAGTACCTCGTCAATGTGCAATTAACATTTTGAATGCTCTGCCGATCTTGATCATTGGAACGGACATTCTTCCACGATTCTTGTCTGTGCTTGTTTAAATTTGTCGCTGACTTAACAAACAGGCGAGTCTTCGTTTCGCAACTATTCAAAACAATTTTTCTCCAGATTCTGATAGCGTCGAAATTTAATTCATGAATAATTAAAAAAGTTAATGTGCTTATTATAAATAAATGGTCTGTAAGTTCGCTAACTATTAAATAAATAATAATAATTAACTATTTGGTTTAAATAAACTTAGGATACATATCCTAGGATGTAAAAGTGAATAATTAATAAATTGTAAGTAATATCGTGGCACTACCATGAAAAAAGAAATAATTTGGTTGTTAAATAAAAATATAATGAGGTTATATTAAGACACATCCAATTTCCTATAATTTTAAAGCAGTGGAAATATAAAAAAGTGTGTATGATTGGTATACTTTTGTCTACATTTAAAACACTTGCAATAAATAATTGAAGTAGTTATGTACTCCTAACCATCTACTTGGTTCTGAGTAAACCAGTGTGAAGAAAGGTGTTTTAAATGAAACTTAACCTTTAACCTGTGAGCCGTAAGGCTCATTTTCGTATTACTTATAGCATACCGGTGAATGACTTTTAAGAAACTTTTCAAGCCGATCTTATCTTTTAATTACATTACATAATTACAAATTTCAACCAAAAAGCCGGAATCCGTTTACATTTTTCTGTTGAATGCGTAAGAAGGCTCTCAGAACGAAAAGATCGGCTAAGGGGGTCAGGTGTTTCAAGGCATTGCACATATAAAAACGCTTGTGAGCAATACTATACTTTAAAAAAGCACGGTTGAACAACTAAAAATGTCGTTACATAAGAGCGAATTTTGCATGGTGATAGATGTTCCTGTTATTAGATACATTGTTATGGTAGATAATTAACATCGAGTATATAAATTAATATTAAAAAGAGTTGCAAGACTTAGAGAAATCTGGTTAGGTTTGAAAGTGTAATATTATGAGTACCATATACATATGTAATTTCCTATTTAGTTAACAACACTCACAAAAACGTAAACTTAAGACAGGTCACTTCTGAAATAAGACCTACTAATATAATTGTTATAGATTGTCATAGAACTTGTAATCTGGACCACTTTCAACAACCACACTAATTACCTGGTCTCAAACTAGAGAATTTCCTGTGATATTAGTACTAGAGGCAACGGAATTCACTCGGCACTACCCAGGACACTCATTCCAAAACAATTTAGTAAAGATCGTTTCGCAAATTGTTTCTACCGGAAATCAAGTCCGGTTCCACCTCATCCAGAGCGGGTAGCACAAACTATGGGCCACAAAGGTCGTCAATGTATATATTATTTAACTATTTGTATGAATAAATAATAAAAAAACCTGTTCGTAAAGTTAGCGATGAATTTTAAAATTACTTGCTATATGTATCGTTGTCCTTTTTAGTGTTTATTTCTGATAGTGGTGTAATGAATTAAGCGGCAATTTACAACAATAATGTCTGTAATTCAAAGTAAAAAGGAAAACTTTTTATGCAAGCGGCAAGAAGCTCGTGTATGTTAATGGAAATTAGTAATGCTATATAAAATCTAAATCAATTTAAAAAAATTCAAAACTTATATAGAATTGCATCGTCTGGATATTAGAAGAATTATCTCAGTAATTTGAGTAAATACAAGAGTGAGTTTATCATTTAGTTATTTTAAGTAGACTGTCGTTGGCTAGTGTATTAGCGAAACATGCATTTATTTTTACTCGAATCTGGTTATTGCTCAACGCAATCGTTGATTCAACAATTGCTATCGACAGACCTATTTTAGTTTATATTTTATTTTATTTTATTTTATTTTGTGTGTTGGTATGGTGCTTTTAAACGGATAACAGTTGCTTCTCACGAGAATCAAATATTCAATTTTGTATTAAAATTTTATTCCAAGCCTGAGAAAAGTGTCTTTTTCACATTATTTATAACGTAAATTTAGGAAAATGTGTTACAGTTCATTAGCACCAAATATCAATACCATTATTCGTTACTTAATTAGATAGATCTTATGAGAAACTTCCGTCACAACGCTCCAGTTGATATGTTAAGGTATAGATTCAAATCTAGTCTCAAAGCCAATGACGTTAGTTTCTTTGAGTAAAGTAGCGACAATACTTTGTAGGTCGTATTCCCATTACATCTGCTGTTTTTTTTTGTCAACCTGTTCATGGTAGGTAACATTGAATATCAGACTATGATAGATAGTCTGTGTACCGTTTCGCTACATGGATCTCAAAAAACCAACTGTGGCTCTACAGCACGCAAGTGCTTCTCCAAAGAGAAGTATCAACAACTCACTGACATCATTCAGTGATTTACATTTAGATTATTATTTTGATTATATAAATTGAATCAATATAAGCACGGTACAACGAGAAGTAGTGACATTTCTGTGCTGACCATGAACTGGTTAAATAAAGTATTTTCAATTTCACCTCAAATGTAAGAATAAATGGTTTTTACTTACAGTTTAGCATTATATCTTGCTAGATTTATTCTTAGTACGCGGTGATAACAAAATTAAATTAATCCACATTTGTTTTGTGAAGCGGTGGATGATACGAGAAGAATCTTATGTAATTTGTGATTTAAATTGTATTCCTATAATTATTTAAAAATACTTAATTTAATATAGTACATTCCTTTTAATATATTCAAATGTTGCTCGACGTTTCACGCTGTCTTTGAATATGGCAGTTGGAATTGCATACGTTGGCAGTGAACATATTAATAGGACTTAGTGTTTAATCAAAAAAGGTCCGTCTTAATAGAAATGGTTTTAATATATTTTGTCATAATCAAACTGCATAATATACCTACTGTCTTACTTGCAACATTCAAAGAGAGAATACTTGTAAATTATATGAAAAAAAATCAAACCTGTGAGTTTCCAACATTGTGTGGTGCAAGCTATCTCACATAGAATTTATTTTAAACCACAAACAAAAACAAATTATTTTTTATTTAATTTCTTTTTGACGGTCTAATTAGACTTGATAATTATCATCACCAATTTTCTATTTTGCATAGCACAAGCATAGAATAGTCTTGGATAATGTTATCAATCCACTCCAGAGTTTAAATATGATCTAATCTAATAAGACAGTGGTCGTCATTTGTCTTGTTAGATTTGAACTTTTAAATCGGGCTGTACCGAGTTAACATAATCAGCAAGCTAAGCTATTCTGCCCTGCTTATTGTAAATGCAGCTCTTTCAAAATAGCGATTTGGAGAAAAACCCTAGAAACATATTTTTAGATATCTAAAGCAACATGTTAATAAACTATGTGTTTATGTAAATTCACATATATATCTAAGCAATATGTAAGCAACATGTTAATTTTTATGTTCATAGACTTGTATATTGCTTAGATATATTTATGTTAATAAACTTGTTATTTAGCAAGTGCTGCATTTACAATTAGCAGCAGTATAAAGGCCATTATGTCTCAGGGATCATCCCTCGGTAGGACAGAAAAGCATGTTTCAAACCTAGCAATTTTTTACAAATATTTTTTCTATTATATTTTTAGCAACATGAGATCTGGCGTGTAGGAGGTCTCTAAATCTCGAGAGGTGTATATGTGTATACATATATATTAGTTAAATCACAAATAAGACAGAAATCTTATGTTCAGGGGTAAATAAACATGTAATTATTCACTATCGGTTTAATTTTATAACACTCTAGTGTCAGTTTGTATTTGTTTTCAACCAATTTCCAAAAGAAGGAGATCTGAAGTCGACTGTGTTTTTGTTTGTGTATGTTACGCGATTACTGCAGCATTTGTGAACCTATTTTGATGATTCTTTTTTGTTGGAAAGACGTATTGGTGCCATTTACGGAAAATATTCCACATCTTCGAGGTGGTAAACTAGGGGATGAATCCGGTTTCGCGCACTTTCCAGTAACCTATACGAATAAAACTTGGCAAATGGATGTAATTCCAATTAAAAAACCGATAAGCAAACTTTTGAGGTCGGTTTTTTTTAAATAAAAAAGTTATAATGCCCTACCCGGCCTGTCACAGGGAGATTACTTCTACAAATAAAGTTTATTGCTCGCTTCGGCTGTTCTTTCCTCCTTTACTTATATATTTTGGTGCTTAGATTATTTTTATATTATATTATTAAAATTATAAAAGAAACTGAAAAATGCTCATTGCCTGTGCCGTCCGTCCAGCTACGTTTTTGGTAAAATGCGAAAAAATGATCGTGAATTGACTTCAGTATCGAGCTACTGGCAATTTTAGTAAGGATTGTTAACAGTGCTAAGACACATAATCCAGCACTATGAATCGACCATATAATACAAATTTTAATAGTGGTTTTAAAATGGCGGGTAATCAATCTTGTTATATATTACGATAAAAAATAATATTTTATCTTTTTATCATTATAATATATTACAAGCACAATTCATCTTCATTTTTTTACTGTACCGATGAGTACGGATAAAGATTTTATAAAGATTACACGAGATTTTATCAACCGCTTTACGCTTTGGAGAGTTTTAAGAATATAGATATTTTATCATAGCTTTCTAAAGAACTTCGAATCTGATTTATTAAATTGTATTTTTATAATATTATCTTCCACATTGACTTATAATTATATGGACGTCGGGTCCGCGCTAAAAAGTGTCCGCACTTGTAAGGCGCTAAAATCGTATACAGAGCGCCAAACTCCGCTTTAGTCTTCATTTGTTCTACTGACAGCGCGATACTGCGATGACAGTACAATTTAAATTTCGAATAGGTTGACTTGGGACATTTTTTTCGTGGTTTTTGTATTAGACCCGTCGTCCATTTATTTGTAAGTCAATGATCTTCCACATAATATTGTATTACTGTAGTACTGTGATACTTCTTTCCTTTAGGTCTATGTTTTAGATTACCTAGCCATGTTATTAAAGATACGTCTTGCTACGGCAAGCCGCACAAAAAACTTTGAGCAAAACTGTCTTACAGTCCGAAGCACGCCCTGTTACGCAATGTTATCATGTCTTCCACTCTGTATAACTTTAAAAAGGATATAAATATTTTATCTTTCAACAAAGAATCTACACCACTGACTCAAATGTGACGTATCAATTGCGAGTTGATTTTAAATATAAATGATTATTACAAAATTTTATTGTTCCAGCCACAGATCTAGATATATGTCTGTGGTTCCAACACATTCTTCTGTAACATTTATCACAACCTAAGGTAAACTCTGGCAAGTTCCCTTTGTACTATAACAGCTTTCCATCCATGTTTATTCCAAATACAATCACAAATAGTTTTTTAACACTGTAGTAGTAAATTGTGTTTGGCTTTTCTAGTTAAATTTAATGATAAATACCCAAAGTACGTACGATTAGAAAGCTTGGACAATGTTGTGTCGAAATACTAAGTAACTCTGCAAAATTCCTAGGGTCATAACGATCTACACAGTCCAATTTTTTTTATTGTGCATAAGGTTAATTTTTTACATACCTATTATTTTGTAAAAGTTTGTTACAAAACGTTTACTAAAACAATCTTTAACTTGTTTGCATTTTTTCTAAAAAGTTATGTTTCTGTTTTATTGTTATGCAGTTTCTTTTTAATTAAATTCATCATCGAACTAAATCATGTTCTTATCGGGCTGTGATGCACTTGTTAAATTACAGTAGATGTAGTGATTAATTAAGTTTTGTTATTATGAACTGATGTAAAAAAATCCTTAGTACGACAGTCAACAAATTGCACGGCCACAGAGATGTGTGAGGTGTGGCCGTGCAATTTCTAGTCAAAACTGTAAATACATTGTTTACTATGCATGGACATCCATTCTATGCAATAGATGGAACTTTTTTGCAAATAAAGCTATGATAATTCTGTAATTTGGTGTTATTATTTATTTATTATTTACAAAACTAGTTTCTGTACCTGAATATCATAAATATGTCACCAATATCTAATTTTGCACTTATTAATTTTTTTTTATAAGCATGGCACATAGCGCATACATGAGTATAAGGGAAATCCTGTATCGTGGGTACTATGGCCACACACATAGACAATCATAAATTACAGCCCGGGAATCGAAACCGGGACCTCTGCGTGGTAGGCCTGGGCCCTCATTTTAATTCAAATCGGAATCGATCCGATCGGGTAGCCCATCCGCAATATTATATGCCTCGGCTCGGAAAACACGCAGTTTCAGGAGAGGCAATCAAAATCAAGCTGCAGCATGGTTAACCGTTCGGTCATGGAGGCAGTTATGTAAATTTGGTTTATGGTAAAGATAATATTGCTTTTTTTCATTACCCGAGCGAATCTGCTTACAGATACCTCGGCCCTACGGGGGCAGAGCCGGAGTTATGTGGAACTGGGCTCAACCCTGAAGGGGAGCAGCTAGCCCGACCGCTCCCAACTCCCGGGGTATTCCTCCTCTCCGCTGCAGATGAAGGCACGAGTACGCTATCGCTCGTCCGTGCTTCCACCAGCGGCTGGCCGCACCCAGTGCAGCCCCTTCCCGCCTTCCATCTCGGGCCCCTCCATGCTGAGTAACGAACTTCCCCGTGTCCGCTACCCAGGGGCCATGGGGGCTAGGGCAACATCCCTTCGGGGGGACAAGATAATGTTTCTGACGTATCTCATAATGCACCATACATAAACAACTATTGTATGTAATATATCACCTAAATAATAAAGTACATAAAATACAAAAAACGTGTCAAGCGCGAGGTAATTATTAAGGTAATCTGTGGCGAGAGTGGCAGGTGAAACGTTAAAAGTAATTATTTGTGATCACTCTGTCAAATATGTCTTAGTCGTAATAAACGTATATAAAATACAAGAAACGCCTCAAGCAAGTGTTGCAGCCGAAGTGTTAAAAGTTAAAACTACCAACCCTTTGTTTTAGCATCTTAAATATTCATTTATTGTTTCTTTTATTATTACTCAACCGTAAAAAGCTATAATAATTTGCCAAGAATCAAAAATCATCAGAATGAATAAACTACTGGTTGGCTACCTGCAATCCCTTGAATTAAAAGAAAGGTCCGTTCCCGCGCTGTTTTTTATATAAACACAAGTTTAGGTACATGTTTGAACGAACATGTTTGAACGTGTTCGTATCTCGCAGGGCTGCGACTGCGACTTTGCCGGTGCCTTTTCAGTCTTCCCGTTTTGTTGCTTGACACGAGAACAGATCGAGTGTAATTCTAGTGATAAAATAAACATATTATGAATGTTTATTTAATTTTGATTTCTATTTCATCTGTGCGGACATTGTCGACCCGTCAAACAATGGGTTGGAAATAGTAAGTTCTTTATAACTTTTATAATAATTATGAGTTGTAATACTGTTTATATTTATATGGTTAGTTGACAAGTTCCATAGTGTTATATTATTTATCTGATGATAACGAGAACACAGTAGGTATTTAATTAGATACCCATTTATTTAGGTGCTTACGGTAGGTACCTATTCTCTTTATAATTTATTTTATTATATTAAGTTATAATAACTGTTTATATAAAATAAGTATGTATATCTTCTTATTTCATTAAGTTCGTAGCCTCGTTGACACTAGGTAGTTACACACATTAGACGGTGCATCATACCTAAAGATGTACAACAACACTTCACCCTTTTCACCCTATACAATTTTGTTCGAATAACGCCTCCAGTGCGACGGGACAAGATCTGTCAAGGTGTGCTTGATGTGCAGTCTGTACAATGTGTTTTTGTTGATTGTATTACCTTTCTCAATTACTTAGCGATCTAATTTGCAGTTAAAAATGTGACTGTGTTAACCTGTGGTGTACTTATTTTGAAAAGATTACGTCGCTATAGGAAGTGTTACTTTTTGAAACTGCAATTTGAACGCCATCTAAGGGTCGTATTCTAGAACTCTACTCAATGCTCAAGTCAGGATGTGAGTATGGTTTAAAGCACTCGAAATCATACTCAAGTCCTTGCCATTAGGGTCGTATTTCCAGTTGTTATTTGAGCCTATTATTTATTCCTTTTCGTATCAGTGAACTGTAAAGTTAAGACAATAATAATTTTCACGGTATTCATACGTTACTACTGCTGGGCAAGGTTCTTTATTAAAGGGAAATTTGGTCTACCAACTGGATTTTTAATTACGTCTACAGAGGTGAAGTAGTGTAATAATATTTGTAGCTTATTGACGAAAGCATATTTTCTGACACTGATTTTTTTTAGCAACCATCTATTCATAATGGCAGCTGTTTGGTCGGCATCTGCAGCGCCGTTTTATACAACAGTTTGTAATCAAGAAATTGGATGCGAGACTGGTTTTTACTGCGAGACCGACTTTACCTGTAAACCCTGCCTTCGCTGTCAGGACCTGAAGAGAGAGCTGCCACCCACATCCATGGCTTGTGTCACTTCCATTCTCGAATGTGGACCATGCGTTGATGGGTAAAAATATCTTGCATACGATTTGTAATGTAATTGTAAGTATATTTTAACCATCTAAGTCGTTGTTACCCCTCTCAAGTACCTACACGGCATGGATTTGAATTCGGGCTCGCACCTCTAAGTTTCTCGGAATTTATGCGCCGCAATTTAATGTGAAAACCTTAGCAGAGCTTTTTGGTGAAGGAAAACATCGTGACGAAACCAAACCGCATTGGGCCAGTGTGGTGGACTATGGACTACTTAACCCTCGCCTTAGAGGAGACCCGGGCCTAGCAGCGGGATGTATAAATGGCTTGATGATGATCAACCATCTGGCTTCTTAATAACGATGATGATCCATCTGGCTTCATGATGATGAACCATCTGGCTGGCAGCTTAATTATGAACTAACTATGGGGTATGTGTATTTGTACTGGTATGATATTCGATTAGATACCTACAATAGAAATTTCTAATACCTACGAACACAACATAACACTTGATATTAAGAGCTGTTACACATGGAGACTTTTAGCAGCGATGCAAATGCGATGCAGTCGGTAATCGTCTAACTTTACACGCGCGAGATTTTAAACAGCGATGCAAACGCGATGCAGTCGGTAATCGTCTAACTTTACACACGCGCGAGGTTTTAAGCAGCGATGCAAGCGCGCGTTTGTATCGATACAGTCGCGCGTTTGCATCGGTGCAATCGCCTGTAAATCGCAAGTGTAGCGATGCGGTTTGCGTGTTTTACGTACGCGCATTTGCATCGCTGCTAAAAGTCGCCGTGTGTAACCATTCTAATCCGTTCAGGGACATTAACGGCGCTTATTGTAATATTAAATATCAGAATATGGTAGTACACGTACTGGGTATGCATCTCAAAAAACCAACTACGCTGCACTCCAGCAGAGATGTGCGAGGTAGCTAGACGGTGTGCGAGGAAACAATCTATCAATAGAATTACTTCAATTTCCTAGCCTCGCTTAGAGCAGCAGGTGGAAAAGGGCTAGCGGAGCTAGGTACATACAAAAAGCGAGATGAGTACGAGGAATGTGTGCGAGGAATGCGAGGGAGGAATGAGTAGGTACGCGAGCTCGCTCGCGGTTGCCTCCGCTTACCACATCACACCGCACTCCAACCGCGTGCAGGTGAAAATAGTCCGCTGCTCATCCTCCCATCGCTCAGCTACACACTGTTTCACAACTTCGCTACGCATCCTAGCACCGCCCAGCTACCACGCACATCTCTGGTGGAACCGCAGCCTTACAGTGCGATTTCCAAGTGATTTCTATATAGTTGCCGCCTATGGCTTCTCCATAGAGAACAATAACGTACTAACAAATTTCAATTAAACATTGAACATTTTATATTGTAACACTAGGCACTTTACGGCACAACGAAAAGCCATGACATTTTTATGTGCGGTACATTATTTAAGTACTCTCTATGAACAGGTTAATACGTTATATTCTTAGATAGCGCCGTTGTTTTAGTCTTTTTGGTGCTTCTTTGCTTTTGCGAAAAATAATTTTAACTTCTCGAACAAAAAATGGAATATCGGAATTTGTTAATGGCCTTCAAACTTTTGACTTTCGGATATTTAATCACGTCTTAGTTCATTTTGTTATAAGTAAATAAAATTTCATTCCAATGTTTATTTAAATGGGTTGTTACGACAGACATCCGTAAAATTTTTTTTTTTAGGTTAAAAGAAGACCCCAATATGGCCCAGTGTATTATGTCAATAGAGCAAGGTCTGCCGACGTGGGCTATCATTGGCATTGTGACGGGCTCGCTTCTGCTCTTTATTTTAATCTGCGCTATTGCTGCTCACATTCTACGTAATTTACTATATCTCAAGATTTTTGCTTGTAAGTATAAATAACCTTGTTTAAATCTAGAACTTAACATAACATTTTGATATTTAGTATTTCTGAATTTGTGTATCGTGATCCCAATTGCAACCAGAGGATATAGAGACATAAGTAATCTGTGAAAAATAAGACATAATAGCAAAAGTTAAAATGCATACCTAGTCAGGGGGTTCCGACAAAAAAGCCGGAGAAACGATCTTGTAAATATATGAAATTTTTACTTTTTTTATCACATTTCCTTTTTGACCATAGTCGTTCTCTGGTGGGGATAGTCCAATTCAATCCCTATACATCTCTTTAGCTTTATTTACTTAGTTGTAAAAATGTATTAAGTATCGAAGCAGCCACGAGTATTTCTGTTACCGGATCCACTGAAATACAGCGTCGTAGCACTTTCAGTGAGACGACAATAAGCTGAGTGGATGGCGGATTCCGTAACAGCACAGCGTACACGCTTCCTGTTATGTTCATCATTTATTCCTTACTTATTTATTTATTTAAGTTTTTTTTTCCATTTGTATTATTTGTTAAATAACATATAATGAGGCATGTTGTACTTGCCATTTATTTTAAGTCTAATATTGTAGTCCCAAAGTATTATGTAAATATTGTAGTTATACATATATGTATATTCCTTTAATTATAGTTAAACCAGAGAACAAAAAAGTAACGAAAACGGACACTCTCCGCCGCTCCCTAGCTTTAGATACCGCACCACACCCCGCACATTGACGGTCACATTGACTGAACGACAACAAGGCTGTCAGCAAGCCGTTTTCGCGCTAAGACGGCTTTGATATTTGAATAAAGTTTTCATTTATTCATTACGAAACTTGTATGTTAATATATCATTTTATGTTACCTACTATTTATAATGGTCGTGAGTTGTGCTGCGTACGGCTGTTTATCATCATCTAAACGGGATAAAGAGACGAGTTTCTTTCGTTTTCCGAAAGATGAAACGAAGCAAATAAAAATATTCATTCAGTTATTGCTTTTTTCGTATATTTAGTGCAGACTAATACTATTCAGATATAATATATCAATTTAATGAGACTTACTTACACATAATATAACTTCGTGAGCAAGTAGACAAGGGTTCTCGAATTTTCAATTTGTATTGCTAATAAATATTACGTAATGGATATACTATTAACCACTAATTATTAACAAGGTAATAATACACTTGTACACGCAATTTCAAATACCTTGGTTACCTTATTTAAAAGTACCTGTCCAAAATATAACATTTTAAGTGCTTTTAATATATTTTTAAAAATAAATCTTCAATATTATTCTAGTTAGTGAACTAATGAAAAATATAATATTAT